TACATTTGTATACATTCATGAAACCTACATAAAGTTTATGTCATTTTGTATAATTGACAGTTGATGGATAACTTTTAAAAAAATATTACTGAATTTACAATGTAAATGGACTACATGGTTTTTATGTAAAGATTTGAAAAGTTAGTTAAGCTATATCTAATATACAGATATACAAATAGATAGATAAATACGGGCACTAATATACACTCAGTAATATGTCTATCGAGTTATTCTGTTCAATTTGAATAATAGCTAAATGAAATCATATAAAAAATTATTTGCAATTTACCAAGGTTTATTATGATTATTAGAAATTTATTCTGTCTGTTTTTCTTTTTAGTTGTCAAAACCACAAGATAACTGACACTTGAATAATGGATTAAGTAAAACAATTACCATGTTAACCTTAATTCTTCCATTACAACTATTAGCACGGATATTTTTCTTTTTTGAAAAATTTAGTTACAAAGTACAGATATTTAAATTTTACAATATCATTTGTATGTAATAAGTGTCTACTGTTTCGAACTGAGCAAAATTAAACTATTGAGTATACTTAATGTCAGAAAGGGGTTTTTAGGGATTAATAATAGTTGAGTTTATGAGTCAATTAAAGCTAGACCATCATGGAAAACATGAAAGCAATGGACGGCCGTTTGGTCCTAGTATGGGGTAGCCCAGCAGTGCGCATCCACGATCTCGACCACGGGATTCAAACCCATGAAATTCAATCTCGCACTCGAGCACTTAACCTCTAGAACATTGAGCCGGCATCCAACAGTGTTAATGCCTACCTTCAACCAATCCACAAAATTGCGCCATCATCCACCATTGTCTTCAGTGAATTACTATCTCACAATTTCGTGGATTGGTTGAAGTTAAACATTAACACCATTGGACCCCGGCACAGTGGTCTAGAGGTTAAGCGCTTGCGCCCGAGACCGAAGTTCTTGATTTCGAGTCCCGCAAGCGAAGTCGTGTATACTTAATTTATTCTCATGATCTTGGTTCTAGTAATTGTTAGTGTTGATATAGTATAAGAGCAAGTGCAGAAACAATAATATATTTATCAGAATACTGTAAAAATAACAAATGACACTGTTATACTATGTGAACGCGTATGAGCTACTTATTCCCACTGATCGAAATGCAACAAAACATGATTTTCTATAATTATAAATGATAACTATTATCAGTGATCTTTTCTGCATATAAAATCATTTGAGCATTGAATTGGAAAAAAAAGACGTGAAACAATGGCTTAAGGCATGAACTTTCTTGAACAGGGTAATTAAAAAGACAGGCAGTGTTACAAGTTTGAGAGAGCCAACAAAAGTTCTTGGAATGGAATCAGTGAAAATCTCAAAGTGAATGCATCGATGTTTTTAAAGTAATTAATTAAAATTAGAATGAAATGAACAGTTAGAGTTTTTAGTAAAACTTCAGTTGACTATACTATATTGACAATTTTTTCCGTTTGAACGAATAAGTTGAAGTTTCAATAAAACTTTTTAAAATGAACTATAATAAATTATATTTTATCGATTATTAGTTCATGTAAGTAGCTCAAAAAACGCTGACAATACGACCGTTATCAGTTAAGGGCTTAGTTATTAATCTCTTTAGAACTGTGACGTTTATGACTAATAGAAATATGATCATGTACTGTTTTTCTTGTACCTTCAATTCATATCCTTTGCCGTTTATATGTAATTTGATAAAAGCAATAAGACTAACTACTTTAGTGTGTATTTATCACTTAGGCTTAAATTTCAATCATCTTTTTTGTTATTATTAGGGACCAGTAAAAGTTTCCCCAGTTTTTAAATTGCACCACAGTAGCCGGTATTTTTTAAAGTAAGATCTGTTTTATAGCTGAACATAAAACTTGGAGTTTATATTTATCACTTATTCTTACTTAGGAAGTGATTGATTTAGATGGATCACATGGTTTCTCTCTCCCTAGTAACGCTGTGAATATGAATGACGGACTGACGTTTCAAGATTTTCAGATTTATTCCCTTTATGTTAAAAATTATCAATTTTATTATTTTTGGCTCAACATTTGACTGTTAACTTAATGAAAAATATTTCAGATCATTGTTATTTATGCATAATAGGATGTATTATGATAGTAGTCTTATAGTGGAATATACTAAATAACCGAAAACGAAAATTCTGCAGTTATTAAGTTTTACATGTTACCTGAGGGACTACTTTATGATATTTACCATTTATTGTAGGATTATTTATATCGGTTTGTGTGGAGTAAAGTTCATTTTGAAGATTGTTTTCAGTATGACACGACAACGGCAAGAGAGTCATTCCACAACCAGAAGTCATTTAATGATTAAAAGACTAATATTTGAACGAAGAATATTCTTTTCGATAGATTCTCTTCAGGTTCTACAATTCATATATCCAAATTAATAATCCGAAAAATGGCCAGGTTAAGGGCAAAGTACATCGTTCAAAGCATGTAAATTTAGGATTGTGATAAACAAAATACAATAAAATTGTTAATGTTGATATGACTCATATAGAATGTTAACTTGAATCTGCGTCTATGTTAAGTGAAATTTTAAGATCCATGATCAGAACAAATATGGGTCAAATAGGGTGAGAGAGAAATAGTGCGATTACAATTCGATCAAATAAGTTAGACATAATACGGAGGGATGAATGCGAAGTGAATGAATCATGTTTAGGGGAGATTAATAAGGATGTCCAACCGATAGTAATAATAATAACAATAATAATAATAATAATAATAATAATAATAATAATAATAATAATACAAAGTTCACTTGCTGTTGTTTTACTTGGATCTTTCCATTGATGTTTAGGACTGCAATTGATCAGTCTCTTATTGGCATGTATTGCCTCGATATTGCCTTAATTTACAAGCATTATAGGCAAAGATGGATAATGGCAAGCAGTGGAATCCAGGACGCGAGTTTCAAGTAAAACAATACCAAGTGAATTAAAATTCTCCCCACTGCACAAGCAAGCGGCTATCAGGACTCAGTAGCTAAGTGGATAACGTGATGGCGTTTGAAGCAAACGGTACTGGGTTCGAGTCCCAGAGTGAACATCACCCCAGACTCAGGTACATCCAACTGACGAGTCCCAAATGGGATGGAACGCACGTCCTGGATTCCACTGCTAGCCACTATCCATCTTTGCTAATAATACAAAGATTTGTGAATAAAGATAATAGAGACAATTACAATTGACTACAAAAGGTCGTAGTCAATGATCTTTTTTATATGCGATATTATCTCTAAAGTACAGATGACACATAATTTTGAATCAAAACACGTAAATTTCAACTTGAACTTGAAATCACGCACAGCTCTCATTAAGTATGTCATTATCCTAAATCACAATGATACACTTTTCATTTTTTCCAGTTACCATCATTGTATTCAATCAAGATTAGACTGAATTAATCTATTTTCACTAACTGAACTAACTATAGAGTATCAATTAATTAAATAACAACACCTCAGAAATTTTGGTTTCGTTAACGGTTTAACGTCTTTTTTCGTCACTACAATCAAACTTCTCCCTTTCTATCACTAAACAGAAAAAAATACAGGATGAATTGAAAATTATACTGTCAGTTTTTTAGGATTCCATAGTGTTATAGTATGTTCAACTAACCTCATTGGTTAGATTCAATTAAAGGTTAGATTTCAATGAGTTCAATTCATTTAGATTATCATTTTTAGATTAAATGATCTACATTTTACAGTTCAATAAAATAATATTGGATACAAGTGGGTATCATAAAATAAATGAATTATAAATTATTGGATTATATTTCAGTGATCTCATTGCACTATGCTCGCAGTAATGACTGATAGTTTCTGTTTTCCAACCTATATGGCTTAATATTTTAGCGCAATCAGCATTTGAGCATATTATTTTACGTCCTTATTATTATTATTTCGGCACATGAGAGCTAGGACTTTTTGAGAATTACCACTGCCATTTTCATAAATTAACGTCCGCTGAAGAAATAGTATATGTATACGCTTATTAAGTTCAAAATTAATCATTTAGGATATATTTGAGTTATCACTTTCTTAATAAACCTATTCATCCAATTACCTCAGTTGATAGAATCTGTATCATGTGATTTAAGTCATTCACATCCGTATATCAGTAGTGTCAAAATCAAATACAGTTGTGACGTGTATATGCATATTTATATAGTGTGTACTTATCCCATGTATTATACCTACAAGATGATTATTTAGTGCACACAATATGGTTTATTTGTTTTCACTTAATAATAAGTACATGAAATGCTTTAATATTTTAATGTAGCCATTGGACATGTTATTTAACATATATGTGTAAATATAAACATGTCTGTCTAACGATTTTTCATATTATTATGATTTGTTCTCCTGTATGGAGACACACATAATATCCATAGGCAGTTAGTTAACTTCAATATTTGTGTCTAGATGTTTGCATGAACATGCTGATGTGTTATATAATGTGCACATATGGCTTGTTCGCTCAATCACATTACACTGTTATTATTTAAGTTAGTAATATTAGAATTACCAGTTATTATGGCCTTTTTTCACTTTAAAAAGGAACCAATAAATTTATGACTCTTATAACTAAAGGAATTAACCATACATTGATTTAACTATTTAAATAAAATGAATTGATAATGAAGTACTCAAATTTATTCACGTTTATGTACATATCTATACTGTAATGCAAAGGTTTACATTGGGAAATCGTAACAATCATCAGCGTGATTACCAGCTTAAAACTTAACAACTCAAAGTGATCTAAGAGCGGAACTAGACATATAAACACACACAAACATCCTTTAGAAACTAATTTTAATTATTTGAAGAAAACACATTTTTTAGATAAAAAAAAACTTTCATGAGATTTGATTTGATAATTTACCCAGTTCAAGAAAATTGCATCAAATTAAATTAAAAATTGTGAATTAATTTGAAAATTAAATGTCTGGTGATACTGAGGCCACATTTATTTTATCTTTAGACGACGATGAAAATGATAATGCATCATCTCATCCAAATCACAATAAAACAATAACAGCAGATTATTCAATAGAAAATACAGTAGTTGAATTCTCTATTTCAATTAATGATGATAGCGTTGAAGTGAAAGGAGGCGATTCAATGTCATTGGAAGAACAATTAGCTTGGTGTAAGTAGAATTCATAAAGGGAACCAATTGCATGAAATGTAATTTCTTCTTTTTTAAAGTGTAGAACTTCACATAATTTTCATAATGAATTAATATAAACAATCAAATAGGTGTTCTGTAAGTTTTAAAGATTAATTAATGGTATACATTCGAAAGTGTTTCTCAGGAATTAAAACTAAGAATTTTCTCCTAATCTGTCTATATACTTATCAAACTCAGTTTTTACTGTTTTTTCAGAAAAGTAGGTTTGATTTTAAATATTCAAAACATAGTGAATGTAGAAGCATTGAACCGTATTTCTTACCTCAAGCACTTATAAGCATTTGAAAACTCCTAAACCATTCATACCTTTGTGAATTTTGTATTTTCTATTGTTGAGTGCCTTTAGTGAATATAGGTATTCGAACAATAAATTGTTGTTCAATGAATGCGTTTAGATTCATTTCCTAATTAAGTTATTTGTGAAGAACTTTCGAATTTTTGAATATAGCTTTCTCTGCCAAGTGATATTAAGTGATGATCCATGAAATCATATGGAACAATAGACAACTATATCGTCATTATTTGAAATTTGGGCCTTGAGATCTTTCAGGAGATATGATTCCTTCAAACCAATGAGGCGAAACCAGATGATCCACATTCTGACCCTAAGTTGATTCAAGATAAGTGATTAATTGGATTCCGTGATTTGGGATGTACATATTTACTATGTAGTTATAATCTATTTAGTTTTTTTATGAATACTTTATCTAAATGGCATTTCACTTACATGAAAGAGTTTTATTGGAAGTTATATTGAAGACATATTCGTATAGTATAGCAAGGGTGTAAATAAATTTAATAGACTGAATATTGTAAATATATACCTTATATGATGAAAGAACATTGTGACAACAGTTCAAAAGGCTAGAAACAAGTTAACATGGATAGGAATAAAATGAGTAGAGTTCAGTTGATAAAATAAGGTAGTTGGAATAAAACTCAATGATGTGATAAATGCAAGAAAGAGTTTAAGGAAAAGAAAAAAATATTAAGATATAAGAAAGGAATATTAATCACCAAGGCAAGGAAAGATTAATAACCATCTCCTTTTGAACACATAAATCAGGCTTTTGGCGCCTGATTGCAACTGCTTCAGCAAACTTCAGAAGACTGGAGTTTGGCTGCTTACTAATCACCTTGAATGATTGTAGGGTATTGACCTGGTGTCCTGTCTCGAGGAGATGTTTAGTGATTGCACTATTTAGAGTCTTTCTTTCTCTTGTTCTGAGGCTTTTTGGAACATGTTCAAAAAATCTGAGATATGCCCTCCTTTCTGTTCGGTCAATGATTTTAAATATCACAGGTTGTAAGCAGCTGACGAGAACCAACGAAATAGAAATGAATTCATGCTATTCTGTTAGAATGTTTGTTCTTGCTCTTTTCAAAATGATAAAGGGAACTATGTGTATAAATGGCATTTTATTGTAATTTTATAGCTTATTTTCTTGTCTTTAGATTATGACTTTTATTTCGATTTAGTTATATAATAATTCTGATGTCTGTAATACAATGTAACATTTACATAAAAGATTAAATATGCGAAGTTTTAATGTCAAGGTTATGCAGTTACTACTTGTTATAAATAACATGAATTTCACTTGATAACTAACTAATTAATAACAAAAATAAAACTACAATCAATCAATGAGAATATTTCGATCAATTTTTGAAATTAAAACAAACGTCGAAATCAATAAACTTTGAAATTGATTGCTTAATCATACTAATTATTGACATGTTTTTCTTATTGGCTTTTTTGAAATTGATTATTCCTAAGAATTATTGAACTTCAACAGATTATTCCCGATATTGATTACCAATAGGGTTCATATAAATAAAGTACATTGTTTTATTTGTGGCCTAATAGTAGAATGCTATTGCATTCTATTGGATAAGGTTACCTCTTGTCACATATATATATTCCATATGACGTCTTCACACTTCATATCGTGTGACTAAATAACTAATTAACTAATTCTTGGATGTTAACTACCTCACATTACTTGAGATACCAGTCACAGCCATTTGAACGTTGTCGTCTCACTGAATAGTCCGGTTTGTATGGGTTAAAATTAAATAATCTAATTTTGTTAATAATTTGAAAGCCTTTAAAAATCTAGGGACACTGAAAAACGTATTGGTAGATAATAACTGTAGCGGCACAAGAACACCTTTGAGACAACTCAATGATGATTGCGGAATTAGAGAAATCACACTCATCAATATCTGCGAGTTAATATCACTATAAGTTAAGACTATCTCTAGTAAGACTTTATGATTAAGTGAACCACAAACAAATACAAAGTACAAACCAATCATGACTTGCAATCATGGATAATTGGAGATTTATGATAAACCAAATTAATTCCAACAGAATAAAACAAGGATTGAGAAAATTGAATAGTGATAAATCAGTATATCTATTTCTCTACATAATTCAAAATCACAGCATATTAAAAGTAGTTCAAGTTAGTCAAATCAAAATAAGGTATTTCATAGAAAATCATGTGACTATGTTCATATCTTAGTAAAAGCAAATGTCTTCTACTTTAGATTAAATAATCTAAGCAATTATTATTTATCAGCAGGGTTTTTGTGGATATTATAGTGATTTTAATGGTTGAGATCATAAGTCAATTGAAGCTAGACCACCATTCTCACAATAGCACGAATCGGTCATCCAATGCTTCAATGTTTTCCATGGTGATCTAGCTTCAACAGACTCGTCATCTCAACCATTGATTTTCTTACTGCATTTAATAATTTTTCAAAATACAATTTTATTCACTAGGTATTGTTTACTTGAATCTTCCCATTGATTTTTAGGACTGGATTTGATCAGTCTCTTATTAGTATATGTGCATACTGTGTGTATCACCTCAATATTACCTTAATTTACAAGCATTCTAAACAAAGATAGTTAGTGGCTAGCAGTTTTATGCTTGAACATTTAAAAATAAATATTACCTTATGATCCATCTTCAATGATCAAACTTTCACACTTTGGAAACTAAAATTCAAGTTAAAAGTTAATTTACACGAACGCTCCAAATTTAAATTCTATTAACTGTATTTGTTTTGTTTTGTTCATCTTTTTTGTTGTTGAATAAAACAATTCACATATTACTAACCTGTTTAAATGTACAATAATGGCGTTCACGTATTTTTATTCAAGGACTCATACATTTTCACTGTATGGTTACTAGTGATTATTTTTTTAATGTTAGCAAACAAAATGCTAGTTTCACTTGCAAATTATACCTGTATCTACTCATTAGTTATCATTTAGTCGTCATTTACTCTACTTAAAACATGAGATTTAAATCTAGTGATCTTTCATGGAGCATACATTAACTTAACTAAATTTCGAAAATCATGTTTTTGATAATGATCAATAATAGAATAAAGAAAACGTATTTCAAGGTTATTTTATTTCTATTACGGTAATAGGGATTGTCCACGAGAGTAGAACGCAATAGTTATAACTTTAGACGTAACGAAAGCTTTTTACATATTCTAAATAAATAATATATTTGTAATATCCCAATGAGTAGAAAAATTAGATTTTCTGACGTTTCGTGACTTAATTGCAGTCCTAAACATCAATCGGTAGATTCAAGTAAACAATACCTAGTGAATAAAACTATATTGTAAAAAATTATTAAGTAATAATCTCTGAAGAAGTGGCTTACACTAAGTCACAAAACGTCAAAAAATCTACTTTTTCTACTGATTGGGATATTACAGATATGTTGTTTATTTATCACTCTACCCAATCCTCAATTTATTCGAAATTATCAAGTCAAACCTTGGTAATGTTATCTGTTTACATATTAATCGTCTATTTACCAAACATTATATTTACCCGGGGGTTCTTAGTCCCCTTCCTGCTGTAACCTCCTTCTACTTTCTTCATAAAAAGTGTTCTAACTTCCTTAACTGAAAGAATTATTCTGGTTGTACCTTTCCGTTTCCCCATTATTATTATATATTATTATTGTTACACTACCATGCACTAAGCTGTGATCGTTATTGTTTTTTTCTTATACGCAACTTACCTTCCTTTTCTCTTCCCATCCTCATTATTTTATGTGGCGCATATATATCTGGTGCCCTCTTGTGCTCAAATAAATAAATAGTCCCCTTGTTTCTGATATTCAAGGTCAAATTGATTTTTGGCAGTCAGTAAATGGGTGACTACCGAATAGAACTTAATATTTGATAACCATATAAATGTTACTATCATCTAACTGTCCATTCTAAAGAAATGATCAATGCAATCATAAGTACTGATGTTTATTTTATTGTAACAGATTGGTTTTCCATGAATATTATTTTCATAAATGGGGCACTTATTTCGTTCACTAATATTGTCTTTAGAATTTCATAAGTTTTGGAAAGGAAATTTTACAATGATAACCATTTTGCTGTTCAAAGCTAAAATATTAGTCTATGTATGATGGATAAATTCAAAACTGTCATCAAATTGTCATTTATAGTACTCTAATGTTTCCCTTCTAGTCATCATTTGTTGAAATGGAATTTAATTTTTTTAAAGAATATTCAGTATGAAAAATATGCTTAAACTAGACCACAATTGGATCACGACGATATCGCAAAAAATTCACCAGCTAACGTTACCAATTATTAATTAATATGTTCAACTGTAATTTTATAAAAAGTAATCACTTTAAAAAGATCCTTACATAATTGTTGTTGTTAAAGATGTTTTTTAAAAAGTTGGTAAATCGTTTTTATAAATGATTGTGTTGTTGAATCATTTCAAAGAATAAGATAAATATTCAATAACTAACAAACCAATCTTTAACAGAGATGAATTTATGACGAAAGTTTTTTACAGTCTATCATAAACGCCTCTGAAGCACTGTGTTGGTCTATGATGGTATCACTGAATAATTAATGTTGAAATCAGGACTAGTATTTTTCTAATATTTCAA